CGCTCCTCTGGTCTCCTGCTCGTGAGGGATTCATTACAATATCGTAACATGGTTTAGATTTCTAAATAAACATTCACCTCGTCGCTAGATAGACCTACTCCTGAAAAACTCGTGCGCAAGGCTTTTTGTCCCTACGAGGCCACCGTCATTTACCCGACAGGAGGGGTGAGTGACTGAGCCCTGCAATCTAGAATTTGACCACTGATGTCACTGTTTCCAACGGTTTTCAACCCATTTTACACACTGGCCCTTTAAAGTTGTGTTCAGATTTCTAATTCCAACTTTCACCTGAGAGAGCGGTGTTCACGTCCTGTAAGATTCTAAAGCCAAACCCTGTCTTTTTTCCGAAACCTAACCACATATTTTTGTTGCCGAAATGTTACCACGTGTTTGTTGTTGAAGGGAAAAAAAAGTCAATTTTCGGTGTTGTACCAAAGTAGTGCATTTATTTTGAAAGAGACTGTATGTAAACGGTAAATTTTCTGTGAAAACGGACGTGTATTTTGAAAGAAGACAATGCATGTAACAAGCAGAACTTGGCACGGTGTCCCAGAGCGCCAACAACCAACACACTCAGGGTACCTCACATGTCGTATGTGGTCGTGGAAAGTTCATGACCAAACGCCAATATGTGACGAGGTTGGAGTGAGCATGTGTTGGATTATGCAGCGATGAAATGATGAGAGTTTAAAAAAAAAAAAAACTAATGCTAAATGATCACTAATTGGTAGTTCATGGAGTTTGTAAAATGTTTTTATTTCCCAATGTACCATGTTTTTTTCCAGTAACTTGTTCTTCATGAAGACTTCAAAGGATTTCAGTGACGGACACCTCTGGTACTCTGTGATCAGTCGACCACCGAGTAGCACCTTCACTTGTGTTCAGAGAGTTTCCTGTTGCTTCAGCCTGCTGCTCTGTACCATGCTGACCAGCATCATGTTTTATGGCATCCCAACAGATCCCTCTGAGCAGACCATGGATCTGGGTATAACACATTTTATTAATGAAAAAAAAAAGAAAAAAAAATGTGCTGGCAGTTTTCAGAACTCTAGAGTTCAGCTACAAGGAGTTTAAATTGGTTATGAAACAGTCTCAGTGTAATACTATAATGACTCTGTATGACCTCCCTGGTAAAGTTTCAAAGTGAGTCATATATTAGCCAGCCCAAAGGAAGCAGGAGAGGAAATTTCTTAGAGATTTATTTTTCAGATGTGGTGATATTTTTTGGTAATAAGTGACACTGAGGCAGGGTCAGCAAAGAGAAAAAGAAAAGAAGAACAAAAAAGGGAATGAGATAGAGTGCAGGGGAAAACACAGGTCAAATTTGGTCACTCATTCAACATATGAGTAGTTTAAAAAAGATTCATAATCAATCCTGAATTGGTCCTCCTCCTCCTGGACAAAGTCCTTAATCTGTCTATATTATTTATGAAATAAATTGTGAGATGTGGTATAACATCAAGTTATGAAAAAGGTCCTTGTAGTTGCTTTAGACAAAATATGCATTCATGAATTTGCAGATGACATAATCCTTTATAAAATGCTGTGGACATTCTGTACAGTGTCTTTCATCTCTCTCTCTCTCATCCTCTGTATTTTCAGGTCACTTTGAGTTTAGCTGGCAACAGTTCATGATTGGAGTTCAGAGTTCTCTCATCATGTTTCCTGTGAATATCCTTATTGTCAGCATCTTCAGAAACACTTGTCCTCGGGAGAAGTCTTGTTGCAAGCACAAAACAGAAAAACCAGATACTATGGAGCAGACTTCCTGCTCACAGGCTAACACCAACGACATGAATGTCAGTGTCACTTTAGACTCTGTCATTAAGGTAGGTGCTTCATGTTTTTCATGTGATAGGTAACTATTTACAATGTTTGCCATAGACATTTAGGGGCTGCTGAATCAGTAGCATTCAAATTATATAATAATAAATTTTCTATGGCCACGTACATGTTCAAAAAGCAATGGATATGCAAATACTTATTTTTGAATGAATAAAGTGTATTTTACAAATGCATATATAGTATGTAATTTTATATATATAAAAAAAAACCCACCACAGTATTTGAACATTTTCTCTCTCAGGATATCACAAGAATCGCTCATTCACTGTCTAAGACCGTAAAAAGCAATGTACCATGCACAGAGTTCAAGTTTGGGCCTGGACAACAAGTGGATATCAATGCTGTCCTTTCTGTGGTGGAGGATTTCATCAAACAGAATAACAAAACCAGCGACACCACCCAGACCAAAACTCAGAGCTTCTGCAACCCCGTTCAGCCTCAGCTGCCAGGTGTGTACCTGCTGTGGATGGTGGATACTGTGACATTTGAGATAATGCTGTCTTAATTTTGTAGAGTGCTCTTTATAGCATGAGCTGATGTGGATGTAAGAGAGTGCTTAAGCCCTGTCCGCTTCCCCAGCTAATGTCTGCTCTACTCAGCTAAACCTGATTAAACTTGATAGCTTTCACAGATTTCTTTCAATAGTCCTTTTAAGAAGCTTGACACTGAGGGTTTCTGCCCACAGTCTCAGCTACAGTATAAACACACGCTGGTAAATTCAGTTCTTTTCAGTTCACTTAATATCATTTCTTCGAAGTGCTTGACTATTCAAAAGTATTTTGCCTGCAGCAAACCTGATTATTTATCTTTACTGATAAAATTTCATATAAATGCAAAGATAATGTATGTGCTTGCCTCATGTCTTCTTCTATGAAATGTAACGCACTGGGGGCAGAACTTGAAAAGTGATGCTTTGATCTCAAATTTTACAAAAGAAAAAGAAGGCGAAATGTTTGCCCACTGTGACTTTGTGAAAATCTGAATTAATACCTGGGCATTCAATTGTGCATAAGTAGGAGTATACTGACTTTATTAGGCTTGCGTAAAATTTGGGAACAACAAAACCAAAAAGTGATTATATTATCAGCATGAAAAAAGGAGGTGCACAAATTTGTCTTCCCAGGACAGAAGCACATGTATTTTTAGCTTCAAATATGCACAGAAAATCCCATTGTGTTTCAGTTTTTTGGAATAAGACATGAACGGACTTTGTAGCCTGACATTGCCAGACAAGTTCGCAAATGTGAAGTATTCCAGACTCTCTTATTTCATTTTTGATTTCCAGGGGGCGTTATCAATGGGCATAGACCAAAATGCTTCTTAACACAATCAAATAGATCTACAACAAATTAGAGCAAGGAAACATGACATAGCACTGAGCAACAGATAAATGTAAATCAACTACATCATGCAGAGATGAGCTGTGATGGTGTAGCATTAGTATGTGTTTTGACTTACTTCACTAAAATATTTGAATCAACAGGACAGGCCTTAACTGTTTTAGATTGACTTCTTCATCGTCAAAAATGACTCAGCAGTGCTCCTCTTTACAATCATTGTCACAACCACACCACGTATTAGATAAACGGTTGTGACTGGCCCGTCAGAGTTGCTGGCAATATGTCCAAAGGTGAGGGGTGCCAGATGCTGCTGCCAGAGCAGATAAAACACTTTCTCGCAGATTTGTCTGGCTCCAAGGCAACTGATTTCACACCCTAAGTATTAGGGGTAATACAATTCACTGTGTGTTCAGACAGAGTGAAACTGCATACAAAGTCGATGGAAAGACATGATAGGACACAAATATGCGTCTGAGTGAGCTGAAAGGCTTTGACTTGCATGACATTTTCCGCACATATCTCAGGGCTTATTAAGTCTGCTGTGTAATAGTACGGTGACCAAAGAAAAAAGTATAGACATTGAAGGGGTATAACAAAGACACCTGGAAGTTTCTAGTAAGTTCGGAAACTTTCAGAGGATGAGCTGAACACAAACACACAGGCTGCATCTGTTGCTAATTTGAAGGTATGCTGCCAGGCAAAGACTTTACTTTACTCTCTGTCTGACCACAACCCTATGCAACATGTGCCTACATTCTTACATACACAAATAATGAGGTAGACACAGTTTACTAAGTCTGAAATCTTATACATTTTTAGAGGCCAGTGCAAGTATGCATCCTGGGTCAACAGTAGAGGGGATTCAAAAGAAGAGCAACAAAACCCAGTATCTTTACCGGCAGCTGTGTCACATTGACAAAGAGCTGAGCCTGCTGGGACCCTCCGGCTTCCCCACCCAACACAGCTACAGCCAGGCTCTGCAGCAGGTCCAGGGCATGAAGGGCTCTCTTGAAGATCAACTCTTCACATTTAGCTGTGCCAACCCAGATGAGCTCACCCAGAGCAAGTACAGAAGTCACTCATTTAAAAGACCACAGTGGTGGATTTGCATGTGTTATCTACAAGCTGTGTATCTATTTTCCATTTCCAAGATGAGCCGAAGCCTTATAAGTTGCTTGAAAGACTTTAATGTTAAGTATTAATTGCCTTTATGTTTATTTGTCTTTGTTATTCTGTAAATGTTATTTATCACACAGGCGCTGTTGCTTATGGCAACCACTTTGAAAACTGTTTTTGGTTGTGCTTTCAAGGACACTTTGACCTCCAACACAAGGAAGCAGCTATTGTTAAGCATTGTGTTTATGGTTTATGGTCCTTGCCCACAAGTGTAATACCATTTTGACATCCACAGAACTTTGTCAGGAGTCTTTAAATGTATCACACATTTTCCAAGTCACCGCAAATTGGTTTTCTTTGTGTGCTGAAATGAACGGAATCCAACTGAAAATTGGGCGGTTTGGAAAACAGCTGGCGTCAATGTTAAAAGAATAGTTCAGTGTTTTGCAAAATAGGCTTATTCACTATGAGAAACTGGGCTATATTAGATATGAAGAGGCAGGAGATGGTTAATTTGTTTGTTACGATCCCTAAAAGCTAATGGTTCAGCTTCAGCTAGTTTTCCTGGGGTCTGACCATAGACTGTTTTTTTTTTTTTTTAAAAAAAAGAGAAGTAGCTATAGTCACGTCACCATTTGGTTTGTGGACTGCTGTTTTGAAGCCTTGAGTACGGCATTTCAGCTGTCGCCATCTTCGTTAGTTTCATATGTTGAATGCTGAAATAAGCTATAGAGACCAAAATTGTTTTTTGTACCAGGCTGTAAACATGTTTGTTTCTGCTGTAGTGTTGGGCATTTTAACATGGAGGTCTATGGGGATTGACAGCCTTAGCCAGCCTCAAGTGGTCATTCAGTTAATGCAGTTTTTGGCACCTCCATGTTGGTTTCATTTTTCAGCCCCATAGGTTGCCACTTGGATCAGACACATAAATCCCATTATATCCATTATATACATTCAAACAACACATTACATACAAAGAATCCATGATCCAATCATTAGACACTACAAACAAATGAAAAACAAAGCAAAACATAAATCCTTAGCTCAAGACTAGAAGCAGAGGAAGACAAATAGCCTCGCTTTGTGTAATTTTGAAAAATTACACCAGGGCCTCTGCCAACGAAGTGCTTCGAAGCGCAGCGCACCGAAATTCTCGCGCGAGCCCATTCACATCAGACGTGCATTTCTCCATGCCGGTCGACAAGCGCTTCTGCTCCCAGCTGTTGTCTCCGTCACATTTGGGGCTGTTTTCCATCATGGGTATCTCTCTCTGTTTGCGTGTGTGTGCCCCAGCCCTCTCTGTCTCTGTCTCTCTCATGTGTGTTAGTGGTTGTGAGTGTGTGTGTGTGTGTGTGTGTGTGTGTGTGTTCATCTCTCTCGCGCTCTGTTTAGATACCACTGACTAATATGTATATAAACACACACATATATACATCGCATTTGTCAAACGGGGTGTTTTATTTTGAAATTTGTTTTATTCTGAAAATTGACCAGATGCTGTTGTTGTTCCTTTGTTTGACTTCCTGCCCGGCTTGACACTTTCACTCCCGGCTCACACAGAAAATAGACCAGACGCCGAAACGTTCACTGCAGCGCCGGCGCGGCCGGTGTGGATGACACAATCGGTTAACATAGGCGCCGAAAGGAAACTGGCTTCGCTTCAAGACGCTTCAAGGCTATTCGCAGCGCTTCCGTGTCCAGTGTGGCCCTAGGGTTAGCCTGCCAACGCCTCTATTCCTTGTTTGTTTAATTGGTACACAAACAAGACATTTAATAGCCATGAGTTGTGGTTCATGAGGTTTGTGTGCTGTAACTGTGACCAGCGAGCTCATGGTCTCAGGTCACTGAGTCCTGCAGCTATTCACCATGAAGTTGTTGCAGTGTAAAAACCCCTGTAAACACTCTGTAAGACCAGAACATGTCCTTTTCACTTTGTTTTTGTTATGATTGAAGGTGGAAGGCGAATTTTGTTACCTTTGGATAGATGCGGACTCTCTGTGTCCCCCTATTTCCAGTCTTTATGCCAAACTAAGCTAACCAGCTGTAGCTTCATATTGAGCATACAAGCATAAAAGTGGTATTGATGTTTTCAGCCAAGTCACAACAAATGAACCTATTTTCAAAAATGTTTTAACTATTCACTACGAAATACACAGTTTGTGGATAATGGGCCAAAAATTACAAATTAAATGAACAGCTTAGTATTATATCAGTTACTTTATATAGTTCACACATGCAACTTTATAGTCTAATAATGACTGAAGTAAATGTTTTGGAGCTGAAATACAGGAAAATGTCCTTTGTAAAATTCAGTTTGCATGTAGTTTAAAATAATAATACTCAAGTGAAGTGCCTTCTAAAGAGAGTTGAATGGTATTCTTTCACTGCTCTCACTTGCAGGTTGAGTCCTGCAGATAGCACGGATGGTGACGGCAGTCAGAAGAAAAGGGTGTGCTGTCATGGAGGGCTACCCTGGTGGTTTATTTTTGTCGGCTGGCTGCTAGTGATCGCAAGCAGTGTTGTATCAGGATATTTCACAATGCTTTATGGGTTGAAATTTGGGAAGGAACGCTCTGTGAGCTGGTTGGTGTCCATGATCATCTCCTTTTTTCAGAGTATCCTCGTCATTCAGCCATTGAAGGTGAGGAAAAGATTCTTTCCTCTCTTCATAAAGAACTATATACCTCTGTGGTAGCTCTGTATTTCCAATCCGATTCATTGTACATGTTTGAGAAAGCTTAACATCATAGTGTAAGGCCCAATTCCAATCCGGCCCCTAAAGACTCAAGCCCTAAACCCTCACTGACTTAACTGACGTCAGCTGTAAGTGATTGAGTGTGAGAGTCTGAAAGGGCTCCGGATGCTACAAATAGGAATGGGACAGAACTTATCCTCCTCTCTACAAAATGTTGTTAACACTGGCGGCTCTGGGCGTGATCATTTATCAGTTATTGTCAGCATATATTCCACACACAAAGAATATATATCTATATATATCTATAGATAGATAGATAGATAGATAGATAGATCTATCTATTTATCTATCTATCTATATATTCTTTGTGTGTGGAATATAACCACTGGTATTCCTCTGACTTCATGTGTGTTTATGTACCATCTTAAATCCTTGTTAATGTAATGTTTCATTGTTTATCTATCTGTTTTTTCGCTCTCCTTCCATAACGTTAATATTTGCATATCTGCCGACCGTGTTACTTCCAGAGTTCCGAGGGCAACCCCTGTATTTGACGTCACAACGCTATGAACTGTGGGTAATTTCCTTACCGTAAGTCCGCATCGATGCTGACCTACGGTAAGGGGGCATAAAGGGCTCACTCACTGACTCACTGACTTGACGATTTGACAATGGGACAGCCCTCACACACTCACGCACTTCACATGAACGCGCCTCTAAGTCAATGAGTCTGTAAGGGATCGGATTGGAATTGGGCCCAAGGGTCCTGTGTGTAGGATTCTGGGGATATATTGGTAGAAATGGAATATAATATAATAAGTATGTTTTCTACAGAGATCACCATGTTGCACCACCATGTTTCTACAGAAGCCCACAATGGACAAATCAAACACTAGGGCTATTTGCATTTTCGTGCTTTCGCATCATCCACTATAGTTAGCAGCCACTCCGCAGCAAACCGAACAGCATCAGAAAAACACTGCTTTATTCAGTATTTTTTTTAACCGGTTTGCCAAGTCCCTTTGTTTTGAAGAGGAAAAGACCTCTGCAGATAATATGGCCCCCAGTAAAAACCTCCTGAACCCTTGGATCTTAGGTTATCAGAGAAAAAAGGTGAGCACACCTTAGCAGGTACTGGGCTAGCAGCCAAGTTTCAGCTGGTTGCAATCTGCAGTCCTTACTTTTTAGATGCCACAAAATCCTACACACTGCTCCTTTAAACTTTCCTACAGATGTCAATATTTATACTGTATTTATTCTCTTTAGAAAGAACACTTGTATTAACTTATCCTTTTACCACAGGTGCTTTTACTTGCAGTCTTCTTTGCTCTTGTAATAAAGAAAGTTGATGAAGAAGATTTTGAAAATATGGAGTTTGACAGAAATCTAGGTAAAAGATAAAACTTCTAAATACTCTTCGCTGGTCTCAGATTTTGACTTGGTTATCATCAAAAAATGTGCAGGTGTTACAAAAATATTACACTTTACCCACAGGTGAACGTAAGGAACAACAAATGGTCAGAAAGAACAGTAATCTCTATAAGCCTCCGCCTCCTGCAGACGTTGAGAAAATGAGAAGAAACAAGATAATGGAACAGAAAGCCTTTGCCCTCCTTAAGGAGATTTTGAGTAAGTAGAAACACAGTTTTATGGCAATAAGTGAATGGATATGAATCATTTTTTTTATGCGATGCAGTTAAATAGCCTGTCATTCACAGGATTCAGTATGCAATTTTTATATAGAGAGAGAATCCACATGCTATTTTAACTTTCCCATTACAACTCTAATTATCCACCATTATTATCTATTCTGCCAATGATTGATTTTCATAGGGCAGGAAGCCTTTTTCACAGCAGACAATTTGACACATTACAGTAAGAAAAGCACAGCTGTAAATATTAAAATAAATGATGACTGAATATCATTTAGCTGCCTCAGTTCCAGAGTCCTGGTGTTGTGCATGCTGCTTAACCGTCACTCTTGTTATTGTGTGCTTATTATGCACTGTTCTTCAGCAGTAAAATCGCAGCTGGTAAATTATATTTTTTTAAAAAAATTGTTTATTCAAAAATTGCAGCATCTGCTTTATATTAATATTAATTGACTCTGACACCCAGCTCTGTTTTTGCATGGTGAATTTAGAGAACTCTAATGTGCCCATTTGTTGCAGCCTACATGGGGTTTATGTGGATGTTGCTGCTGATGGCGTATGGCCAGAGAGATCCCAATGCTTTTTTCCTGAACCAGCACATCCGGAACAGCTTCAGTAGAGGGATCTCAGACAGCATGAGTCTTGGAGAAGTGTTCACTTGGGCTAATACATCACTACTGAGCAACCTTTTTGGAGTTTATCCAGGTAAATATATATAACACCTCATGCAGATGAGAAAGAAGTGATCAGACCCTGCTGTTTGTTGTCCTAGTAACCAAATGATTTTGTGTCAGAGCTGTAAAGAAAGGTTTACAGCTCTGTTATGGCTGTGCTTTTCTGAATTCTTATATTACACATTTAGTTATTTAATAATTTATACTGCCTCCTGTCAAAGCATTCTATTTCCTTTTCCTTTTGTAGGACCGTGATTGTCTTGTGCCAAAACTGTTTTGGTGTGAAAGCTGTTTAAAACCTTGCTTTTCGGAAAAACAGACTTCTCGCTTTCATGCTGTGGATTCAAACAAACAACTCCACCGCTGGGGAGCAAAATGCTTTCTTGTCACAAGATAATTGCTGGGTTTTATACAGTCCTTCATGCCAGAGGGAACTATTAAGAGGTGCCAGGTGATTCTCATGATCCCAACTTCTCACTGGATAACTCTGTCTTTAAAAGCACTACAGCTGTATTTGCACCCACACATATTAATTCATGCCTATTGCTGGCGTAACTGTACCAAATGGGTAGAAACACACCAAAGACAATAAGTTGTTTTGACACAATGCTAGTGTCATTTATTTAGTTTTTTTTTCATTGTGACTGCTGGGATTGTGGTATGTCCGAACGGTTCACTCATTACCGTTTGTAACTGAATGTTTTCAATATGTTAATCATTTTGCAGCTTTGAATGCTGAAACCACACAGACACCTTATATATTAAGCCTGATTTTTGCCTTAATTGGTAACCCTTTGCTGATTTTAGGATTGGGTCACATTTCTGCCAGATTGGTTGTCATTGGCTGTTTGACAACATCTGATTGATTTCCTTTCCTTCCTTTCTTTAGTTTGATAACACTGGAGTATTCATAAGTGCTACATCGCAGGCAACTGGACTTGCTTGCGTTTCTTGAAGACATTTCACCTCTCATCCAAAAAGCTTCTTCAATTCTAGATGACGCAAGCTTTAAACTCTGTGTGGGTATGAACCCTTACAGTGTTGTTGAAGTCACATGTGAGCTCTAGGTTTCAGAGTCGTTAAGGTCATATGTTGTTGACTCACCTGGACATCATGTGTGTTGTTAGGATAAGATGAGACCAGGTGTGAATCGATGTGAAGTCATCTGGGGAGGGATCCTAAGGCTGCATTGCAGGTGGGTGATAAGTGATGGCGTAGGCCACCTCCTCGGTTCAACGATAGTCGTTCCGGTTTGACGAAGATGGCTTCTTTCACGTCTGGCTTTCTTGGCTTCGTTCAGTAGGCGACTTCACTTCCATTCGCACCTGGTCCCATCTCACATGATGGCCGGGTGGGTCAACGACTCACGTGACGTTAACGACTCTGAAACCTAGAGCTCACATGTGACCTCAGCGACTCTGTAAGGGTTCACATTCACAGGAAGTTTAAAGCCTGCAACTCCGCACCAGTCATTTAGAACTGAAGAAGCTTCTTGGATGAGAGGCGAAACGTCTTCAGGAAACTCAAGCAAGTCCAGTTGCCTACGATTTTGCTCTTAAGATTACCATGACCTGGATGACTGAGAATCTTCACCGACAACACTGGAGTAGTATTTACCATGTTGTGGATGTAACTGTAGACCATATTGTCTGCATCTTCAAACCATCGGGAGCTCTGTATTTTTTTCTTTCCGTCAATTACAATTGCACAGCCTTTCTTTCTTTTTTGTTAACATTGGACAACATCTTGTTTGAACAAATTTTATTTGAAAACTGACCAGGGATTAGTGTGAGCACAAACAACTTGGCCACTTAATTAATCCGTACAGGATTATAGCCAAACACAAACTGAATAAAATGTGTTGTATGAGATAACAAAATTAACATACAGGATAATAAATAATAACATAATAACCCAATGGTAATAATTAAAAAAATACCATTGGGTTAGAACATCAGCTCATTGGTACTGGGAAAGTTAGCCCTGTATTGTGCAAGTGCTATTGCAAGTGCTATATTGACCCAGACTGACCCGGTGATTTTTTTTTTTTTATGTGTTCTGAAAGGCAATCATCCACACTACTAAGTTACAATCACAAGTGACAAGTGTTTGTTTAGTCTTTTTTTCTTTAAAGACTAATTTTTGGAGCTTTTTTTTGGCCTTTATTTGACAGGACAGTCTTAGTGGGAAAGGGGGAAAGAGAGGGGATGACCTGCGGCCACTGCGGCATGGACATGGGTTGCCTGTTCTAACAGATAAGCTTCTTGGTACCCCAAAAGAGATAGTTTTGAATATAGTGCATACAATGGCAAGCAGAGTCTTGTGCAGAACAATTCTCTGAGTGAAACACCCCTAAAAAGATCTTTGGCTCAGACCCAGTAAACTGACCAAAGTGTTAAATGTGTGACAAATGGCAACCACACACCTAAAGTAATTTTCATTCAGCACTGCAAATTAACTGCAAAAAGCTGTGTTTCAGGATTTATCACAGATGGAAACTCCAAGCTAGTGGGTAATGCCCGTCTTCGTCAGTTGAGAGTGCAGAAGGACTCCTGTAAGACTGCAGACTCCATGCTCCAGTTTGTGCCAGACTGTCACGCTCCATATTCATGGGAGGCAGAAGACATGGGCTCCTATGACCCTGGCTGGAACCATACTGTAAGGGATAATATCTCTGTGAGCACTTCCAGCCCTTGGACGTACCAGACGCAGGCTCAGCTCAGGGCTCATCCTCTCTGGGGTAAAATGGTGCTCTACAGGGGAGGTGGCTTTGTAGCAGAGCTTGGTCCAGATTCACAAAATGCAAGCAGGTACGTCCATTATCAAACTGGAATGCATCAGTTTGAGAACTAAAGGTATTTTTTGTAAACCAAACCAGTGTATGTTGCAACCACTAACACTGCATCAGCACTGCTAGTTACAAGCTAACAAACAAACAAACAAACAACATAAACAAATGAAAGATTCTAACTACACTTACCATTCTGATATGCCTGCTAGTCACCGATTTTGGTGCACAGCAGACTTCTCATCTGAGCTAGGTCAGACCGAGGCTCCAACATATATGGCTGAATCTCTCCAGTATTTCCTCTAACACTAACGCTAGCTTTCTTGATGCTCACTGCTCTGTCATCGATCAAACTAGCATAGTCATGCGTACCGGACCTATCTCCTCACTTTGTTTTAGCACCTTGCTAGTACTTGAGAAAGTGAAACCTACCGCAAACAGCAGTGGTGGGCAGGGCATGAGCAAAGCCAGAGCCAGAATTTCTTAGAGAGGGAGAAAAGATCCTTATTTCCAGACCCTTTTCAGAATTGTATGTTTTATTTTTCATGCAGGAAAACCATGTTAAATCAAATCAAATCAAATCAAAGCAGTGTATTTTCATATACTTTAAAATATGTCTAGATGAGGACTTTAAATTATCCTCAGTGGGCTCAGTGACCTTCAGATTTATCAGTTAATTTATTACAATTGAAAACACAGATGTAAAAATCTGTTATTTTCTAGTCGAACAAAGCTGGAGTGATATACCATTTTAAGACAAGTGTAACACTTAAGTAGAAAAAGCAGACAGAGGCCCTCAGTAAACAGTTTCTTGCATATTTCATTTACAGCACCCTTGAGTATCTATTCAGAAACACGTGGCTGGATATATACACAAGAGCCATCATTGTCGAGTTCACTGTTTATAATGCTAATGTGAACCTCTTCTGCATCGTCACATTCTTGCTGGAGACCACAGCTGTAGGTAAGATTAAGTGTTTCCTCTGAAAAGCGCAAACATTATGCATTCATAGTGTTGTCAAAGGTGTCGGTGTGAATGCCGCTTTATTGAAGAGGATTTTCAGGAAGATGTAAACATTATTGTTACATAAATCTGTGCATCTTAGACCATGCTGTCTTATAACTTAGTTTAAGCCTGTGATTTTATTCACTCTTCCTATCTGCACATTGACGTACAGTGTATGAATGAGGTCACACTAGCCTGCATGTGTTAAACAAAAGTGTTCCAATTGATTTTACAGGGGCATTTCAGTTCCACAGTGAGCTACAGAGTGTTCGCCTCTACCAATCAACCGGTGGCCTTCACATCTTTGTTATGGCTGCTGAGATCATATACCTGCTTTTCATCCTTTATTACATGTTCCTGCAGGTACACACTAACACGACTACTACAGCATATACTTCCAGTCCCACTAATTGCTTGGGTCTTTCTTATCGATGCACCTATTTGATTTCAGATGCTTAATGAGACTCCCATGAGCTTCTCCATTCACTAAGGGCACTTTAAAAACTGACATCAAACTATGTACACAGGGCTCATTACTCTCTTGACATGAACCCTGTCACCCTGTTTAGATAGGAGATGCTTTTTGGTTTAGAGCAGTTCCCTGGGACATGCCACAGTTGTTTGCGACAGAGACTGGCGAGAATCAATCTAGAAAGAGGATTATTAACATTAGAGAGATTGATTTGAGGCTAAATTGCTAATTAAACCGCTGTGTTTCACCTGTGCATGTGGTAACCTCATCAAACTTTCATTAACTGATTTGCTTATAAATCCAAAAGCAATGTACAGCTGACTCAAGCTTCTTATTGCGCCCCGCTCATGGTTCCTCTAATCTTTCACCCTGAAAAAAAGACAGGACATTAAATTGCCCTCTTTGAGTGTAGTATGCCTCTTAAAACAATTACATAAGGAAACAAATACATGAAGACATTAACTTTAATGTGTTGATGACGATGTTGATGTTGTCGTGAGGATGTAATAGCATTATCTTCTCTGTGATTTTCTTCCATGTAATACCTCTTAGTCGAGCCAAAATCACTGCATTGAGTAATATCTCAATTATAATTTTCCACTTTTCCCAGGGCCATTATGGTGAATGTTCATGGGTGTTGTTCACCATTAACTGTGAGAGACATTTGGATTGCATTGTGTGTCCTTCCTTGCAGCCCCTGGAGACTCTTATTGTGATACAGGGATTAACAAATAGACTCGTTTCATGAGTGTTTTGATTTCAGAAATACATGCACATGCAGATGGCTTTCTTTATTCAATACTGCACTTGACAAAATGTAATACAGGAGATTTTTCTTTAGTGGTTGCCGACACCTTTGAAGTTTGCGTATTAGCAGCATTGAGATCAAAGTCTCATAAGAAGTCAAGAAGTAATGAATATTAACTCAGATTGCAAATTAAGGAAAATGTCAGGCATCTACAACAACCTTTTGAGTGTAAACATGTATGAACATGTACTGAATATGTTAAGAGACCAGCGAAGGTAAAAACCTCTACATCCAATACATGCACACAAACTCACTGCTGTTGTTTTACATATGACAACTGTCTTTTTTTTCTCCTGGCAGGGCAAATTAATGAAGCAGCAGCGATGGGCTTACTTCAAGAGCAAGTGGAACCTCCTTGAGCTGGCTATCATCTTACTGAGCTGGAGCACCGTGGCTGTCTTCGTACAAAGGACCCTGCTTGGGAACCATGATATGACCTACTACCAAAATCACAAAGACCAGTAAGACTCACGTAATAGTGTGCTAAACCTTGATCTTTAGTTTGTAGAAGCTGCACAGTGCGCTTTATGTGTGGTTTACTTTCTAATGCTACTTAGCCACGAAAGCAGCAATCAGTCAGTCAACCACTTCGATCCAAACTAAAATATCTTAATAACTTGTTGATGGATTGCCTTAAAATGTGGTACAGAAATCCCTAGACGATTAATCCTTAAATAAGCCTATTCCTACTTAATCATTGGGTGATCCCCTGATCTTTCCTCTAGCACCACAATGACGTTGACATTTGCATTTTTTCAGGCAGGTATTGTTCACTGTTTGTACTAATACCCAATGCACTAGCAATTGTATAGCCTATAACTGATCACCATGGATGGATTACTGAATGGGCCTACTGGGCACAGGCCCAGGGGCCCTAAGTGTCAGGTGGCCCCCCTGGCATTCACTTGCAAAATGTCAAACTTTAATTAACAAGTATTGACCAAGAAGAGACTCAAAATGACCAGAAAAGACACACATTTACCTTTAAGAGAGACAAACCCACAAAAACAAGCATAACGACTACAAAGAGATGCAAAATACCACAAGGTCTGTGTGTCTTTCTCCTATGTGGGAGAGGTGGTGGAGATGTTGTGTCATAATTGGCCCATGGTGATTACATGACCTATGCACTGCAAGCTGTCCGGTTATATGATGGGAGCAAAGGAAAAAGTCAGGTCATAGAGTATTAAGAGTGACTAAGTCCACATGGCTAGATTGTCAGGGTAGTGGACAGGTTAGCCAGACACAGGACTTTGACCCAGGAGACAAGGGTTTGTGTCCCATGTGAAATCAAACCTCAACATTTAGTTAGTTTAAGTTACATATATGAAATGTCACGTTACACTAATTGCATTACGTGACAATGCACAACCATGACTCTTTTACGGAATCTAACATAACCTAACCTATTCGATAGTGACATTAATTCGTAAATGAAAAATTTTCGACGATCATCAAATGAACAATGTGCATAACTTTTTGTAAGATAAACAAACTGTTGCATGAGAATACATTGATTTTTCTTTTTTTTTTCTATTTTTTGTGCAAAGTTTCAAAAGCTAGATTGCCATGAAACTAGGTAAACACACTAGGGGTGGGAATCTTTGGGCACCTCACGATAACGATTACGATTCAGGGGCTACGATTCGATTATAAAACGATTATTGATGCATCTTTAATTTATGTATATTGATGCACTTTTTCACAACACACATTTCTTTTTGTCTCACTGAATAAGCATTCAACACTTGCAATTTTTAAAAACAGTGCATTTGTAATAAGAAACAGTTGAATTCATTTCCATTATATTTTATTAAACATATAAATGGAAATGCTTGCAAACTGTAAAGTTACAACTTGGTTGTATGGAACCAAAGGTAACAACAGGCATCTTAAATCACAAGATAAAATGCACAGTTAGAGTAACAAATGATGCGGTGGCGACAGACGTCTATGCATCACATGTAACTGCAATCCTACCTGCCTTCAACACCGAGGCCATGACTTCTGTTTTGGTTTGGTTGTAGAGTGTCGGGATGGCCGTGTTGGTGAAATAGCGTCGGGATGGGATGGTGTATCTGGGCTCCAATGTATGCTGCAGTGCTCGAAATCCCTGATTTTCCACAACGGAATAAGGACGCAGATCCTTGGCAATAAATGTCGCAATGGCCTTCGTAATTCACTTCGCCTTTTCCGATGAGGGTGGCAGCTTCCTAATTGCTTCCTCGATTGTTCTCTGGTCGGTAGCGCCACTAGTTGCCACAGCAACAACAGCCTGCCGTCTCCCTGACTCCTCCGTCGGGTGGAATTCAAGTTACATGGCTTCTCATGTTTGTTGTGTTGCCAAAGTATTTTATTTTAGCATGACACAGCTTACATATAACGTGGCTCTTGTCCAGTTCGCTTCCGCCATCAACGTTGTAGAAGGCTAAGTGTTTCCACACGTCTGCTTTTAAATTAGAAGGAGCTGTTTGGATCTCACGGTGAGGTGGGTGGTGGTCAGCCATGTTTGTTTTCCTCTGTGCGCGTGTCAGCGTGTCCACTCCAGGTGCGCATCCCAAAGTGTCCCGGAAATGACACGTACCGCACTTCTTAGTTCTGCATTATTTAGAACCTTCTGTATTACTCTAATTAATAGATTTAAATAATCGAAATTTGGGCGTTTGTGAATCGATTCAGATTCATCCACGTCCGAACCGTGATGCATCTAAGAATCGGAAATTTCCCCCACCCCTAAAACACACCCATGTCCCCCTCACGATGATTTGTTATCATTTTGATGGTCCCTTAACTTAACATCAGCGGGTCAATTTCTTAATTTGTTTGAAGAACCTGCAAAGATGTTCCCATCAGCCCCAACTGTCATTTGTGTTTAGCGGATGTTAGCAAACATGTTTAACTATGATGGTGAACATGGTAAACTTTATACTTATCAGCATATTAGCAATTTGTTGATAATCATTATCAGTAGCGGCTCGTGGTGAAATTGGGTGGGAGGGCTAACGCATTAGGCCTATGGCCTATACTGATCAATAGTTCAGCTGCAGTAACAGTAACATCACACAGAGATACAGTACCAGGTTACAGCAACAATACACTACAACAAAACTAGAGAATTAGGCTAATTACAAAAATGTTGTGATGCCAAAAGCTCTCTCTCTCTCTCTTTCTCTCACGCTCTCTCTCTCTCTCGCGCACGCTGGCTCGCTCGCTTGCACGTGCGCGCACACACATCACATCACTAAATCACCAAGTCATTTAAGTCCGATGATTTTTGGATGAGGTCCCGCTCGATAGACAGCATTTAAAATGATCCACCTCATTCAGCATGATGCTAACACAATTCGCAAGACTCAAAGCTCACTCTCCCACTACAGTAACAGCGGGCAGGCCCTCACTGTACTTCCACGCACTGTCATTGGCCAAAAGTCAGTGGCCTGGGCTGAATTAATTGAGCCCAACTGGACAGTAAATCAAGGGGGCTTGTTACGACACCTGTAACTCACGATGTGACAACAATGATTGGAATTCCAGGAGTATGGGCTGTAAAAAATCAGCCCATTTAGATAAATCCTGCGTTTTTGTGACTATTTTAGTGCTGTTGCTGCTATAGGTTCCACCAAATACAATCAGTTCCAAGTTTCAGTAACTAATATTTTAATATTTTCTTTAATTTAATAATTTTCTCGTTGTTATTGTAAAAGATAGGCAGGGCTTAGCCCTGCTAGCCCATTTATACCAGCCGTCTCTGATTATTATAACTGTGAGTATGTTAGCATGCTAAAGTTAGAATTTAGCTCAAAGCTGTGCCCAAGTAAAGTCTAATGGAGCTGCTAGTATGGCTATATGAAGGCATCTGTTTGATTTAAACTTTTCTTCTGTAATCATGGCAGTATTTTACAGTGTTCTTTTAAAGTACTTTTTTTTACTGTGTATCTAGATTTGCCAGTTTTTACGAGACAGCCACAGCAGACTCAGTGCTCCAGTATCTGATCGCCTTCCTCGTCCTGCTCGCCACCTTCAAACTGTGGCACTTGCTCAGACTGAACCCTAAGATGAACATGATCACTGCTGCGCTGCGGCGGGCCTGGAGTGATATATCTGGTTTCCTTGTAATCATTGTGATCATGCTCGTGGCATATTCAGTTGCAGTGAGTATCTTGTCCCTTTTGCAAAGATTAAAGTCTTATTCAATACGCAGGTAAGGAAACTAAGTTACTGCTATTTTCTGAGTTACTGGGCCTTGGATAATACCATATTGTAAGATTTTTGTGATGATGGTGGTGCCCTGTGAGGTGATCTTTGTTATATTCATTAATTTTAATCTAAGGGGTGATATGTGAATGAAGTGTATGAAATACGAATTAGCTAACCTCAGTCCATTATCTCCAGGATGGTCAATTCAATATAACTTCAAGCTAGATGGAAATGATTTTAGTGATTCCTCTGCTGATAAAATCGTCTATCACCTTCCAGTCCAATGTGATTTATGGCTGGAGGATTTCCACATATAGAACGTTTACAGATGCTCTCCTGACAATCATCAGTTTGCAAGTAGGCATCTTTAATTATGACGAGGTACGTGAGCTCTTCCCCCTACTCACATATTTGCTATGTAAAAAAACGTATGTATGAGATAATAATAATTTCAGGGGCATATTGCTGAATCTCTAACCCATATCATGTGCATGAATAAGGATTTTTCCACATAAGCTCAAACTGATATTGATGTCTCACTGGTGCACTCTTTGCCAGGTCCTGGACGGTACCCCTGTGCTTGGTGGATTACTCTTTGGTTCCTGTGTTGTGTTCATGACATTTGTGGTGCTTAATCTCCTCCTCTCAGTGATCCTCGTGGCATTCAACCAGGAGCAAATATATCACAAGGTAACATTAATCACAAGTCATTCTAATCAAAGTTTTTAGACCAAAAATTAAAGTCTAATCCTTTTTTTTTCATTTTTAGAATTTTTTTAGAGGTTGACCAAATCTCTTTAATTGTGTTAACTTTTACTAATATTCTACAAAACTAGACCTCTTACTTTACAGTGTGCACTGAAAGCCACTAGAAATGCTAAATGGGTGGACTTGCTCTTGTGCCTTTCTTGTCTCAAAGCGCTTTTACACTATTCGTCACATTCACCCATTCACACACACATTCATGCATGCCAGAAACTTGGCTCCAAATAAATGCAAATGTTACTCTGTGTCTGCTGGATGTGTAACTTTCTGCTAACAACTTTGCTACAGCAACTTTAATGGTGATATATCAGTGTTATGTTTACAGCTTTGTTTACTCCCACCAAGTGGCTAAAACAATCATTATTGCTAATAGTTAATAGTTGATCATAAACAGTGCAGTTCAAAAGCAAAGATAGGAATTAAAAGTCTGGTAAGTAACTACCAGAACATCTACAGAGGCAGTTGAAAATCGCAAAGTCCTATAGGTGCAAAGAAATCCATATCAATATGGTGAAAATGTATTGAACTGAATAGCCACCTACCTCATTATGTCCCATAAATGCTTACTTCTGCTGTCCAAGGTACAGCACAAGGCTGAAATTCTGAGTGCTCTCAAAGACTCCAAGGAAACTCTTGATTTTATCTGCTCATTATGCCCCTGCAGTATGTACAGCTGCTGCCAAGTCCAGAACTTCATCAATCCTTTCCAAGTTTCCCAGAGACATGTCTCCTTTTAAATACCCTGTGCTAGGTTGGCCTAATCATTGAAGAAGACATGGCCAGCATAAAAGCAGCTGAAGGATAACACAGCCAGCCTGTCCTTGGTACAATTGTTTCTTTGAATATTTAGTTTTCTCTGCTCTTCATTTCTGTTCTGTGGCTGCTGCAGTTTACTTTCCAGTGTGCCCTCTGTCACCCTTTATTGTCATTTACTTCTGAAACTGTACAGGAGTATGTGAGGTGAAAGACTCTACATAACGCTACATAACTTTGGCATTCATGCCAAATCAGTTGTCACATGTAAGAAAAACTACTGAAAATGATGCCCAAGTGTTTGAAATATCCATGGAGAGATGCTGGATTGAGCTGCAAAGTGTTTGGTATTAATTAAATAAGTAAAATATTATAAAATGTACACTGCAGTTGAAAAGTTTGGAATTGCCTACCAGAAAAGTGTATTGGGTGCCGTCAGATGGCTAAGAGTACTACTCTTTCATTTTGTATGTTTTTCTCATGCTTTTAGGTTGTAGAAAATCTTTACAAATCTATGTTATCTTGTATGAGCGGTTTCATTTTGTGTATCGAGAACAAAACGCTGCACAATGGTTCAATCAGCGTGACAATTCAAAGGGCAGAATGAGACAAAGATATCTCTGAGCAACAGTTCAATATGAATAGAAGAAATCACTATTCAAACTGGAAGCTTAGCATCAAAATATAAGCATTTAAATACAAACAGGTTCCTGTTTCAGTGTCAAGTGCACAGTAATGACCATAACAAGCTGAAATCAGCAGGGTTGTTGCTTTAGGAGAGTAAATGGTACATTTGGTGTCTGAATGTTTGTATCTAGGTTAAAATATCCTTTGTTGGAGGAAAGAAGAAAAACATCAGTACCAGGTAATTCCAAACTTTTGGACAGTAATGTTTAGTCTTAAAGGGCCAGTGTGTAATATTTGGCATGGTTTATTGTCAATCTGAATCTGAATCTGAATATTCTACCCATTAATATGTTTATACAAGTGTATGATCGCTATAAAATAAAATTCGTTTGGTTTTCGTAGCCTTATAATTATGCTTTTATATATATATATATAGCAAGGGCCTTGCTTTAGAGAGGTCGCCATCTTGCGCCGCCATGTATGTACGGCAGACCGAGTGGACAATCCAGCCAGCCAGAGAACGCGTTTCGCGTGTATAAATGAACCAACGAAGACAGCGGAAGGAAGGAAGAAGGAGGAGGAAACAGCAGAGAGTGTTAGTAGTTCGTCGATAGAGAGTAGTGAAAAGTTTTTTTAGTTATAAAGTTTGCGAATGGACCACACTTACCAAGCAACAGGAGGGAATGAACCCGAACCGTCATCTGCGAGGAAAAGAAGACGCAGCTTCACTCCTTGTGATGCACTCTCTGCGGCGCTTTCCTCCTGATGATATATCTCCCCAACGATGGTAGCAGTAGCACCGAATCCCATTCTGTGCATTCAGCCTCTCTTCTCACCCGCTCATGATCAAACACATGGAGTTCCTCATCTGTGTGCTCCGGCTCAAACAGGTATGGCTCTGGGTCTGTGTCTGCTACAAGAAACTCTTCAAAATCGCGTTCAAAGTCGTCCATTGCAGCTACTATAGTCCGGAGATATCGCTAGGCTAAATAAACAGCTGAGCTCTGTTTACCGGCTACGCTGTCAGTCAGTGTGCGGGCTGGAGATTGGCAGAGCAGAGAGGGGAGGGGGTCCCCACTCGGTATGGTAAACGAGTATGTGTGTAAAGTTATGAAGTGTGTCTGTTACGCTAGAAGAGTCAGAGTTTGGGACAGAGTGGAGTGTTACCGGAGTTTCTGGAGTGCTCAAATAAACAGGCCTTTTTCCCAAACAATCCTCTGGTCTCCTGCTCGTGAGGGATTCATTACAATATCGTAACATGGCTTAGATTTCTAAATAAACATTCACCTCGTCGCTAGATAGACCTACTCCTGAAAAAGTCGTGCGCAAGGCTTTTTGTCCCTACGAGGCCACCATCATTTACCCGACAGGAGGGGTGAGCGAGTGAACCCTGCAATCTAGAATCTGACCACTAATGTCACTGTTTTCAACGGTTTTCAACCCATTTTACACACTGGCCCTTTAAGAATAAAATACACACAGTTGCGTACAGTGATTTTGCGGCTTAAGTGGATCATAAAGCTTGGGACAGAATCATTACTGTATAAATAATTTGCTTGCAGTAATCAAGTAATTGGCTTACAGTGTTCATTTTGGTTCTCATCATGCGTGATAATAGCCTGGAAATCCAGATTTTGAGTCTGGCCCTCACCAACACACCCTTCCTACCCAAAGGGCGGCACTAACTGAGGCATTTCAAATGCCACCGCATGCAATTGGATAGCACGATGGCCAATCAGAGCAAAAAAACAATCTGACGTATTCATTGCACTAAGGCCCATTTATTTTCCGAACAGTGGGGCCAACTAATATATTATGCTTTTGCCGTATCCCGTCGGCAAAACAGCAAAAACTTCCTTCCTCAGTCTTCTGTTCCTCTCTCAAGGAAAAAGATAAGTGTAGTTGGCTTAGCGTTTCTTCCAAAGCTAAAATGAATGGACGCGGCCCTTTGGCAACTGCCATCTTGGCTGTTTACTTTTTGACTCCTACGGCGCAGCTTTGTCATTATCATGTTACGCCCACCCAGAGCCCGCCTCTGTCAGATAGACTGATCTGATTGGTCCGATAGGCGATTCAGCAGGCTCTGCTCATTGGGGCCAGATTCCCGTGCAGTGCAAATTAGAATTTGCTAGGGGCGGGGCATCTGGATTTTCAGGTTAGCATGATAACATAAAGCTTTTGCAAAGTTACTTTGCCTTGTGGTAACCCGTCTGCTTTCAGCTACCTACCTGACACTGGTGCTGTGTGCACATTGAAATCATGATGGGAAAAAGAAAGTAATTTTCTCTCAATGAAAAACAGTCTCCTCAAAGCTTGTGACTGCTGGTAATGGCTGCTGGTGTTGGAGACAAAAACAGATGTGCAGGTTTAAAGCACCTGTGGTTGAAGCTGCCCTCTTCAAGTGGATTGATGTCACCTAATAATAAAACCCCATAATGAAATAGCTGTACTTTATTTTGAAACAGTCGATAAAATTCAGTAAACAGTGAAGCTGTCCATTTTATTACTTTATATTCATGTGATAAATCAGTCATAACTTACGGCCATCCAACTGGCTCAACAACTGCTTCAGCAGCAACAAAATGTTCCCAGCTAGCTCCTGTTAACAGTCCACAACAGTGCTAAAGTAATTCTAAACCAACCAACATGTTGCTGCTGCAAATACACAGTGAAAAGACATAATAAGTTTGCCTTTTATTTTGTTGAACACCAACAGAAGCTAGCTGACAGTAGTTGAGCCTGCTGAGAGGCTGGGGGCCTGTGATTCGCTGAGGAGTGAAGGGAGATTTGTTATAAGTGCAGTGAGTCGGGCGATGTCACGTGTTTTGAAATTAGATTAACTCAAGATACCTGTGAGTGTTTCAGGGATATTGAGAATATAATATCCATTCAGTGGTAGCAACCAAGAGACGTTACACAACACAGGAGTCAGTGGCCCTAATTCATTAAAACAAATGTACAACACTAAAGGTCTCAGCTCCCGTACGCAACTTTGAGTCAGCTTGGATTTGCGGTACAGCAGTAGATCCGCCTAAATCACAGAATTGTAATATGACTATTCTGACTGGCATCTAAGTATTTGTAGCTACATATTAACCACCTTACAAACATGTAGTCACCATTTGGACGTGTGCTCTGGCTCTGTTGGAGTGGCTCCAGGTTGACCGAAGGATGAACACCGTTTGTGCCTGGCGCTATTTGAAACTTTTCTTTTTTTGTGTAAACACTGACAAACCACCGCATTTCAGTTTATTTTTCAGTAGCTGTCATGTCGTCCATCTTTATTTACAGTCTATGGATAGAAACCAGTTGAATTGGTTACAGTGGACCTGGGACATCAGAGTTTCCAGTTGCGTCTCTTCTTGTCGTAAACTCTAGGGGCCAGGCCTTTACACCGAGAAAATATTGGGGTGGGAAAATTAAATGACAATCATTTTCAGCCACCACATTTATCAGCACCTGATCATTCCTTCCCTGTGATTGGTGAGATCAAAATGTTTCACAAAGCACACACAAACTCTTCTACACTCAGATTTGCGCTGGTGTAAGATGCTGGTCTGTAAGATAGATTGATAAATGAGGGCCATTAACACTACTTCCTGGTGGAGTTGCACAGTAACTGGAATTGGATTTCGACAACCTCTTTTTATTCCCAACATGATTTTTCAGAAGAGCCATGGTACGCCTGCAAAATGTCACTGTAAGGAAACATAGTTGTTTCATAGTTTTTCTCTGCGGGGGTTTGTGTTCCACAATAAGTGTGATCTTTGTTATCTTTCTTCTCTCACCCAGCCCTCAGACGAGGAGGAGATTGTTGACCTGATGCTGAAGAAAATCTGCAGTCTTTTTGGGATCAGATATAAAGACACAAATGACAACAGGGGGCCAGATGTTGACCCTTAATAACAGCAAGAATATCCTTAATAATTCCTCAATCGATGTAAATATTTATCAGAAATCTGACGACTCTGAAAATCTCTAGGAGCTTAGCTTTATTTTGTTGAGTTTCATATGAGTGTTTTGAATATTTTGCATGCAGTATATCCACATGCTCATTTGTAATATTCATTCGTCTTTACTTGTTTCCTGCTCGCATGGTGTGCTACTGTGTGAATGTTTATTGCATATAAGTTAACAGCAGAAATTGTCAAACAAATTCAAAACACATAAATGGATAAAAGCTTAAAGAGTTTTTTTTTTTTTTTAAAAAGGTATTATATTGACACAAATTGTCCGAATATTCATAAAACACATATAAGATCAGTCCATTTCAGAACTTCTCACAGTACGAAATTATTACACAGTAATTACTAAATATACGAGTAGATGTGGCAATTGGTTCAACCAGACTGATAATTGAAAGGGCAGAGAGAAAATTAAATAGGAAGAGGTTCTTGTTTCAGTGCCAAGTGCACAATAATGCCTAACAAGCTGGAATTAACAGGTAATGTGTTACTTTAGCACAACAGAAAGAGAAGGGTAGTCTGTGGTTAGCATTATTGGAGCTGGATGTATTCAGTCTAACCTGGTGCCTTTCCCAGTGGACAATGGGCGAGATGCGGGGTACACTCTGGACAGGTTGCCAGACTAGGCGTTATGTCAACAACGCTACATGAAGCAGATGAATGACCTTTTCTCTGCAGTGTGAAAACGGCAGTCACTTAAACCACTGACTGTGCACCCCACCGCCAAGTGGGCAGGGGTGGTAATTGCAACCGGTCAAAATGGCTGGTGCCTTTCCCAGCGGACATTGGACGAGATGCGGGGTACACTCTGGACAGGCTGCCAGACTATCACAGGGCTGACACATAGTAATAGACAACCATTCACACTCACATTCAATTCTACAGCCAAATTAGAGTCACCAATTAACATGCAAACTCCACACAGAAGGGCTCCTCCATGCCGCGGATTGAACCCCCAACCCCAGGTTCGAACCAGGAACCTGGGGTATATTTATAATAGGGAAACATGGTTAGCCAAGGACAGTTCTTGCCACTTTTCTAAGGCTGTTTGGCGAAAATTGAAACCAAAAGCAAAATATTGTTTTGCATTTTGTGCTTATGGTACATTTCTGTGTGCTCACCTCTCTCAGGCTAACCTCTTCTCGCCTCTACACATTTTCACTTCACAATCAAAACACTTACAGCTGACTGGAGCTGGTGCAGCAGGGCAAAAATTTGGCAAACATTTCCAACACCATGTTGAAAGTCACCGAGATCTCATGTTTCTGCAAATGTCTGTCAGAGGAGTACTGTATGCCTGGCTTTATGCTTGATTTAATGCATGGTTAGCAATAAGCGTGGCCTATACACCCAAGCCCACTAATTAACAGAGGTATCCACATATTCATGGAGATATACTTAACCACATTCTGTCTCTTTCTTTCTCATATTTCTGGGAGAAAAAGGGAACTTGATAGTTAATTGAGTCAGTAGTCTCTGTAATTAAAAATTGCTTTTTTCTTCTTGAGATCAGTGAGCATAAGCATTAACAGAAATTAAAGGTCACATTTGTCACTCAACGAGACTGGAGGTGGTACTGTCTTAGTAGTTCTTTCGTATTTGTTTTGGTGGCACAGCAGAGGAAGGAACACTCTGACAACCCGTGAAAGTGCACTGATAGTTGAAATTACAGTCAGCATGAGGCTGTCATCATACTCCCCCCAACCCCCCTCCTCCAATGCAATGAGCAGAGAAAACATGATGGCATGACTCTTCTTGTTCTAAGGAAAACCCCCAAGTGAATATGCCAGACTGCTGAACAAGTACTAGTTTTGATGTTCTCTGTGTGGCCGTGTAGACAATACTTTTTATATACAATAAATTTGCTTTTGCTGCCTGGAATATGTTCACTGGCAGGAATATTTTTTCTAATCCAAGAGTGTGTGACAGTTTGCGCAGAAGTCATAGGGAGAATGAAGCAGATGGTTGAGTGAAAACAGCTAGGTCATAATTATAATATATGTTGGGGGTGACGCACATCCACAATATTAAATATATGCTTAAAAGGCAACATATTTATTAAAAATACAAATATTTTAATGCCAGTGGGCCAACAGGCAACCATTGGCTACGGTTACATGATGGCTTCTCATTCAGAATGAAATAAATCTGAATGAAATCATTCAGAATTAAAGTCTTTCCAGGTAGTTTACATGGGAAATATTCATTCCAAATGATGGTTTACATGGGAGATCAGTTCAATCGCCTTTATTCAGGTCTGCGCAAGGTTTGGGTCAGGGAAGGTTTCTGATTGGATAGGGGGCGGGGCGGATGTTACGTGTTTACGTTTGCCGGAAGAAAACACTGTAGTCCTCGCTCCGGATAACAAGATGTTTGACGATGCCGTTCTTAGTGCATTTTTCGGGTGTGTTTTGCTTATATTCTTGAAGCAGCAGTACGACAACAACCTTGTTCTGCTAATGCTTCATCTGTTGAGGAAGAGAAGGGAGGTAGAAGGTCGAAGAAGGGAGATAGAAGACCGTGCTGTGGCGAATGGAAACCGGTGAGTGCAACAAGTCCGACTGCTCTATCTCAGCCTGTTGCTATGCAGCCCGTTGCTATGCACGCTATATACGTCATTGCGCCAGAAGGGCAAGGAAACGAGCATGCGCAGAAAGACTGGAATGAATTTAAAGAGGAATGAGTGTATACATGCACACAGAATTCTTTCATTCGGAATGACAAACGGAATAAACCACCCCCTTTAATCGGATTTAATTTTCAATCGGAATGACCGTTTACATGACCACTCTTAATCGGAATGGCCTTTCATTCCGATTAAAAGTGGAATTAAACTGTGCATGTAAACATACTGAGTGTCAGGATCCTAGTGTGTTTCCATTGTTTTCCCTCCCCTTTTGTTTTTGTCTCGTCTTCCTGTCTTGTGTGTGTGTGTCTGTCTGGAGCTGGGTGGAGTTGGAGTCACCACCCACCTGCACACCTGCCAGCCATCAGCAATCAAGCCACCTGCCAACCATCAGCAATCAAGCCATCTCCACCCCACTCTGTATGAAAGCCTGGCCCAGTTCACATCTCTTCGGCAGATTGTCTGCTTACCTGCGTGGTAGTGTGCTTTGGCTCATGATTCTTTGTCTTTTATTGAACTTCTGGATTTTGACTCTGTTTTCTGCCACTTAGATTGTTCCTGTCTTGCTGCACTCAGCCTCACCCAGCCTCATACCACCACGTCCATACCCACCTGGATCCTTCTGGACATTCTCTGGACCCCTCAGACTCTGCAACCCCCACCCCGCTCCAGCTCCGCTCTTTTGTAATTACAATAAAAGACTTTCTTCATCTACCAGCAGCTTTTCAGAGTCTTATGTCTGCACTGTGGGTCCACATTTGACACTTCCGTTATGACAACCATACCAAAATAATCATTAGCATACGTAATTGACATAAATAAACGTAACAAATTACCATTAAACTACCATTATTACTACTGTTTCTAGTATTATGGCATAGGCTACTGCAGCTCTGCATGTGGTTTGTCCAGGTGTTGCCATACCGCAGCAAAAGCCATTGTTTGATTGGCCATTGGTACAACAATATATTGTCTCTCAATTTCATTACTTTAAAATGTTTTTTAAAGGGGAAAACTAGAATGTGTAACATGAGTGTTACGACCTAGGCTGAGCTGTAATTGTGACAGCAGTGAACTGAAGGTCCATGCAGAGCTTCCACAGCTGCTGTTCTCCTGGTAGAACAGTCTTTTTGCAGTGTTGAGTAAGGCAGAGAGACCACAGAGCAATGCTAAGTTTAGTCCAGCCATCTATTCATAGACAGAAATATTCTCTTCAATAGCCTGTTGATGACACTAAGGCTTTTACATGTGTATCTCAGACAGAGAGAGACTGCCAAGAGGCAGATGAAGATGAAGGTGCAAGGGGGAAGGGAGGACCGTGGACCTTGCCAAAACAGCCAAATGTAAATCTCATACCTAGTCAAATAGGACACTCTTTAGGGGTCGGTAACCTAAAGCGGGGTACACACATAAGGATTTTATAAATCTTAAGAGATTTTTTTATCTGTGAGAGACCCTACACATGAGGATAAAAAATCATGGATTGAAGAGTTTTGATTGTACGGTGTGTGGTGTGCTCTAATATTCTCAACACAGCACACCACACACATAATGACTGGCTGGAGCAAGACTAGCTGTTAGCTTGCTAGCTATAAGTTTACCTTCTTGCCAACTCTTGTCCTTGTCGTTGCTGTTGTGATACGACTTGGTGGAGACATTATATCAACACTCATGGGTTTCCCACAGCTCTACGAGCTGGTCCTCCATTTCCGACGTCCACCTGACTTTGTGCTTCAGCTCGGCCGTGCTTACTTCTTTATTTACTATGTCTGCTTCCTTGTTCCTCAGTCAGCTTGCTTCTTGATTGGCTACATTCCGTTCCACATCACAATTCACTCGGGAGTCGTTGACTTTCCCCACACACATGAGGATTTTTGATCGTAAATATTGAACAATTTTAGTATTTACGATTGTCGGCCCTGACCCTTTTCCAAGCAGATTATCGGGACAAATTAACTTTTAACACACCTCACACCACAGGATAATCTTATAGGATAATCTTATGAGACATAAGATAATCGGGCGTTTGCCGTCCTTGGTCAGGAAGGGGGAAAATTGGGCCAAAATCAGCCCGATTATTTTTATGTGTGTACCCCGCTTTAGGAGCACGTGTCACTACTGGCATGTAGTATCTTGATCCATTGCACACTAGAAATAGGAGTGAAAGAGATTTTTAACAGCCACAGTGGTTTGATTGATATGTTTTTTTGTTCGCATTAATCTCATTTTTAATCATCTTAAACTTTACTGTTTCTGTATGCCACAGAGTTGCCTTTTATAAAATCCATCTGTAGGCGTACGATTGGGCTTCTTTGTGCTTGAGTTGTGGGAAAGCTGCAGCGCTACAGAGCAGAGCCCAGCATCAGCATTGATGACTGTCCCCTGCAGTGGAGGTCTGCTCACTCAGGAGCCTATGAAAAGCTGTCTGCCCTAGCACGCAAGTATCTGACCTCCCCGGCAACCTCCGTGTAATTTTCGGCATCCAAGCAGTTGTCCTGAATCCTGAATCCTGGCCTGATTGTCCCGAAAATTACACTAGGGCAGAGTCTGGAGTAGTTATTGCACGATAAAACATTAAAAACTGATCATGGTGGTTGAGTTGTCATGCAGCTCCCACTGGCTGCACATGAATTATGGGTGTTGTAGTTTGAAGAAGAGAAGACAGCATAAATTGCAGCCGCAAGGACAGGGAAAGCGCAGGCAGCCACGAGAAGGAGTGATTTGCACATTGCAGTGCAGCCTCTTGTTCTAACTATTTAAAACTGTTCTATAAACTGATACAGCTGTAACGAATGCACCAGGTGTCTTTTATTTTGTTAGCTTTAATTTTTTATTAAGTTTAAAGGACAAGTGCACTTATTTTGATCACTTCCATGAAATAAAACGAGAAATTGAAAAAGAGTAAAATAATTTAGAAAATTGTTAAAATAAAATTAGGGAACTGATCACAGATGTATTGTTTCTGTGTGTTTTACATCTATTGTTGCGTTAATCTGCAGCTATGCTTTTAATGACGCTGACATGTCATGACAGTCAAGCACCCCCCTGGTGGTCGAGACTGAAGGTTGCA